TTTGAGGTCACGGTATACTGCTGCCCCAAAACTGGAGACAGAGAGGAACACCGAGAACCACAGCTTACCAGAAGCAGAAGCTGCTGGAACCAGGAAGTTTTAGAAAAACTTAAAGCATAATTGAGAAAATGACGGAGGCTGAGTGGGGACTAGCTTGAGAGCTAACCCCCTTGGGAGCCCAGTCTTAAGGGGACACCACACTTTCATGAGTTTTAGTTCCAGGATCTCCACCACGTTTTCATAGTGAAGATCAGAGAAATAGTCCCTGTGCTTCCAGCAGGGGGAGGGAAAAGTAACCATTTTGAAATACACAAAGGGGAAAAGTAGCCATTTTGGAAAATGCCCAGAGCATTATGTTCTCCACCTGCCTTCAAGGCAAACTACTTTACCAGAGCCTAACCCACAAACATGAAGGTGAAACACCCAGCTCCTACCCTCTCCAGCGTTCCTGAAAGTGAAGAAAGGGCTGCAGTGCACTTATAAAGGCCACAGTCCAGGGGCATAGGTCCACTAAAAACTGAGACTTAATCACAAGAATATAGAATGCTTCCCCTCCCACAACATCTGACTACCACATCAAGAGGGTTCCAGTATCATGACAGCTGAAAGAATGGCAAGGCCCAGACTTTATTTAAGGAGGAGTTTCTAGAGAAACCCAAAGACAATGGGGAGCCAAGTCAAGACACTAGAGGAAACTGATGGCTACAACTATAGCCAACAGTAAACACAGACTGACTTTTAGCCACAAAAACAAACCCTCACACTCAACTCCTGTTTATCTCAGTTCCTATTACCCCAAAGATCGTGGTGGCTTTCAACAAAAATGTGTGAGTCATCCTAAAAGGCAGGAAAAGACATGGCCTGAGAGTAAAAAGTAAGCAACAGAACCAGATTAAGATATAACAGAGATTTTGAAATCATCATACCAAGGATTTAAAATAACTATGACTAACATTCTAAGTGCACTAAAGGAAAAAGTGGATGAGGTGCAAGAACAGATGCATAAGGTAGGCAAAGAGATAGACTCTAATAAAAAACAAGGAAATGCTAGAAATCAAAGACACTGTAACAGAAAATCAACAATGCCTTAGATGAGCTTGCTGTTAGTGTGGACATGGCCAAGGGAAGAATCAGCATCATTAGAAATTTCCCAAACTGAAACACAAAGGGAAAATGGAAAGGAAAAAAATGGAGCAGAATATTCAAGAACGGTGGGACAATTGCAAAAGGTCTAACACGCATGTAATGGGAATACCATTGGGATTAAGAAACAGAGAAAAGAGGAGAAGAAATATCTGAAGCAATAATGGCTGAGAATTTTCCAAAATTAATGAAAGATACCCAAGTCACTATTATAGTTGAAGATTCTATCAGTAACGGACAGAGCCAACAGGAAAATCCATAAGAATATACACACCACCAATCATCTGGAGCTAATTGACTTGTATAGACTACCCCACCTAATAAAAACAAAACACAAATTCTCCTCAAGATCATATGGAATATTTACCAAGATAGACCACATTCTGGGTCATAAAACAGCTTAAAATTTTTAAGATAAAAGAATTTATGCAATGTCTACTCTCAGACCACAATGGAATTACACTAGAAATCAATAACAGATATCTGGAAAATCCCCAAATATTTGGAGATTAAACAATATGTTTCTAAACAACACTAGGGTCAAAGGAGAAATCTCAAGAGAAATTTAAAAATATTTTTAATTAAACAAAAATAAATATACAATTTATCAAAATTTGTGTGATGCAGCATAAGCTATACTTCGAGGGAAATTTATAACATTAAATGCACATATTCGAAAAGAAGTAAGATCTAAAATTAATCATCTAAGCTCCCCTTAGCAAACTAGAAAAAGGAGAGCAACATTAACCTAAAGCAAGCAGAAGAAAAAATTGATAAAAACTAGAGCAGAAATTAATAAAATTGAAAATAGGAAAAGAATAGAGAAAATCGATGAAAAGCTGATTCTTTGAAAAACTGAAAGCTGATTCTTTGAAAACAGTTATAAAATTGATAAACCTCTGGCTAGAATAACCAAGAAAAAAAGAGAGCAGACGAAAATTACTAATAACAGAAATAAAATTGAGTCATCACTACTGATCCCATGGACATTAAAAGGATAATAAATCCGAACACTGACAACCCCAAATGCTGGGTGGGATGTGGAGTGACAAGAGCTCTCATTCGTTGCTGGTGGGGATGCAAAATGGTCCAGACACTTTGGGAGACCATTTTGCTGCTTCTTACAAAGCTAAACTTAGTCTTACCATGTGATCCAGCAGTCACGCTCCTAGATGTTTACCCAAATGAGTTGAAAATTTACATCCTCACAAAAGCCTGCAAACGAATGTTTATAGCAGCTTATGCATAATTGCCAAAAAGTGGAAGTAACCAAGACGTCCCTCAATAGATAAATAGATAAACTGTGGTACATACATAGAGTGGAATATTATTCAGCAATGAAAAGAAATGAGCTTCGCACGCCATGCTGTGGCAGGCGTCCCACATATAAAGTAGAGGAAGATGGGCACGGATGTCAGCTCAGGGCCAGCCTTCCTCAGCAAAAAGAGGACTGGCAGTAGTTAGCTCAGGGCTAGTCTTCCTCAAAAAAAGAAAAAAGAAATGAGCTATCAAACCATGAAAAGACATGGAGGAAACTTAGATGCATATCCCTTAATGAAAGAAGCCAGCCTGAAAAAACTATATGATTTTTTGTAAAACTTCTTTTTACAGAGTTTTGTATATAAAATATATATTTTTTATATCTAAAACCTCTGTAGGTTTTATAGAACCTACAGAGAGATAAAAAGATCAGGGGTAGCCAGAGATTTGCCAGGGAGAGAGGAAAGAATGAATAGGAGGAACACAGGAGATGTTTAGGGCAGTAAAGCTTCTATATGATACTGTAATGGTAGATACACAATTGGAGGGGAGTAGACAAGGTCGGTGGATTGAGAACCTAGTTCCTTCCCTTTGTGTCCCCACCCCCTGCCCCACTGTCAATGAACGAAGGGAATTGAGAAGGCTTTTTCAAACAAACCCATTCTACCTGAATCTGCATGAAATATTGGGCTTCTCCATATGATTTTGCTTGGAAAGAAACTTTAGTGTCTAAATAAAATATTTGGGAAACACCACCCTACAAGATCAGCATGTGCTGTCCAGTTCTTATGCTCCACCACATAAGATTCCAGGGCATTAGGATTTGAAGCTTCCTAGATTCTGTCCTCCCGCCAAGCTTCTATCCAGCTACCTGTGTGGGCACCTACAGGAGCCTGACTCGTTTAGGATGGCGGGGCCCTGAGTCTGAGAGAGAGTACAGGCAAAGACTGGGGGCCCATCCCAGACCTCCTGAGCCCTGGGGAAGGTCGGCTCCTTAATTCTCTTCATTTCCCCATGACCTCAGCTTCCATTCTTCCTTTCCAGCAGATCCTTTCCATTTCAAAGAAATCACGGCTCTTTATAGTCCAATGAGGTCACTTCCTACACTTTGCTGGGTACAGCCGCATACCCTTCCACTTCTGCTCCACAGAGTCTAACCAAAGATAGAAACTTCACAGCTTCCTTCTCTCATTGTTTGGAAATCACCCTCAGGGTCTGGTGCCTACTCAGCACATTCAGGGTCTCCCTTCATCCTTCCTTGCTCACGACCCGGCCCACGCTCTCTGCTCCTATAAAAGGCAGGCAGAGTGGCCAGGGGAGCCAGAGAAGCAGAGAGGCTGAGACCAACCAGAAGCCAACAACTCTCAGGCTGAAGTTCTCATCCTCACCCTCCAGCATGAAGGTCTCCGCAGCCCTCCTGTGCCTGCTGCTCACAGTGGCTGCCTTCAGCACCCACATGCTGGCTCAGCCAGGTAAGACCTCTCTCTTCCTGAGGCTTAAAATTTTAACTACCGCAGGTCCTAACAGCTAAGCATGAGTCATCCCATGCTTGCAGGTAGCCTACATTATAAGGACGGAGAAAGTGAAGTCAACAGGGGAAATAAGAAGAGCCATCGTGTCACAGCTAGTCAGAGGCAGAACCACAACTAGATGTCCAGGCCGCTGAGGCCAGTCCCCATGACCTTTCCTGACACCAGCTCTGGAAAGAGACACTAGTGGGAGTAGTGGAAAGGAAGAAACTATTGCTTGAGGTTTCAAATTTTGGATTATGGTTCAGTGTAGCTTCCAGAACAGTGGCTGTGTGAGGTGGATAAGGACCCAGAGGCATCTCAGCAGGTGATGTGTGTTGGCTCTAAAGCCCATGGGGACCGATAGCTAGGAAGGAAGTCCTTAGAGCTTATTTTCCCAGAGTCTGAAGTTTTGAGTTAGTGGACCCTCCCAATGACACTACAAGGATTAGTCTTGTTACACAAGCTCTCTTCTTACCCAGTCAACAGTGAGGTGCCCCACAGTTCAACAGAGAAAACTGACTCATGAGTAATAGTTTATTTGTGGGACCTGGGCTAAGGCACTGAACTTGGGAGGGGTGGGTCATAGGTAGAACTTGTATATTTACTTTGTCTTCTCCTACCTTCTCTTCCTTCCCTTGCCAATGCAAATTTACGATGCATCCTAACTTGTCTCATTCTTTGCAAAATGTTTTTCAGATGCAGTTTCCATCCCAGTCACCTGCTGCTTTGGTGTGGTCAAGAAAAAAGTCCCCATCCAGAGGCTGGAGAGCTACACAAGAATCACCAGCAGCCAGTGTTCCCAGGAAGCTGTGATGTGAGTGCGCCATGCCCCGGCACCGTCAGCCAAAAGTTCTGTCTGAGTTCTATAGGAGGGAAAGAGTCAGGATTCATGTCCAAATGAGTCAGATCAATATGCCATCTAATCCAAAAGGCCCTTTGCTCCAAGAGAAATTGAGCTGCAAGAAGGAATCCATACTCACTCCCTTCTAGAAGGCATCCCTTCTAGGAGCTTGGTCACATCCTCCAGTTTCCTTCACCCAAGAGCCTGGAGGCCTTCCCCTGGGATGGCAAGAGCAGAGCTTCCTTTTGAGGCCTCTTCCTCCCATCCTTCCCTTCCTCCTGTCCCAAACCAGGCCCCTCACCCGGGGAGCAAGGGCTGATCAGGTTTAGCGGCCAATGGGCCATATGGCGGGGCAAAATCCTCAAGGTGCTCCATCTAACTGTGCCTTCTCTCCCCCACAGCTTCAAGACCAAAGTGGACAAGGAGATCTGTGCTGACCCCAAGCAGAAGTGGGTCCAGGATACCATGAAGCGCCTGGACCAAAGATCCCAAACCCCGAAGCCTTGAACCTTCACACCTGGCCTGAGAGACAGTCAGAGCCTGAGGAAAATCTTATTTATTTTCCCCCAGCCTTCTCTAGATGCAGAGTCATATTATTTTATTATTTAAAAAGAGACACTTTGGTTAATAATTTAAAGCATAACATTTCTTAAATAATATTTATATTTAAGTTATTGATGTTTTGACTTTGTCTGCCACGAATCCTCGCGAACGCACAATGCAAAATTTGGAGATGTGCTTTCTTTTCTGAGAGCTCAGTGAAGCTCATGGCAAGATGGCGTCATTCTCCTTCCTGCCTCCCTGTAACGTTGTGAGGTCCTCCCATGGATCATCGGAGCAAAACACTTGTACGTTCTTAGGAAATCGGTGCTCCTGAAGTCAAATGCGTGCTATGGAGTGGTGTTGTTGAAATTAATGTTATTAGATGACTATGGAATTTTCAAAGAAAATATATATATAATTTTAAACTATTTGGTCTCATTTTTCATGGGGTAACATTTAGCTGGGAGGGAGAAAATGGTAGCAGTGGGTGCAATTTGGGGTATGGGGCATCCTCAAAGAAGTCTTTTGGACTCAACTGAGGATCAGGGAGAATCTGGAAGGACCAGACCAGGCTGTTGCAACCCTTTGGCTCCACTCTCCATCATTACCTGCCCTGTTAGATAAGGTCTTGATTCCTATTTTTTTAGTCACCACACCTATCTTTGCCTAGTCTCTCTTGCAACAGTCTTCAAACTTTTCTCCATAATCTGAGGTTTTTCTCCATCTAATTAATTCTCAGACCCAGAGTAATATCCCAGGAGTGAAACCAAATCTAAAAGGAAAGTAGATGTCTATAACCTAGAGGTCCACTTACAGCTTTTCAATGAAGACAAGGCTTCAGCAGGCTGGTCTTGGGGGATGGGATGCGATGGGAAATGGAAAGGGTTCTTCAGAGCTGGTACGGGAAGGAGAGGAGGGGAGTGAGCCAGAGGAAGGAAGCCCATCCAGCTGGGCTCTGGAAAAACAGAGGAGTTTGAAGTTTCAGAACAAAAGGCTGGAGCCAGATTGTAGGGGTTCTTGAATTTCAGATTGAGAAGTCAGCAGGTAACAGGGATGCACTATAAGTTTTAAAATAGGAAGAAGGAAACCACACTCGGAGGCATGCATCAGGAAGAATAACGCGGTATCTGAGTACAGGCTGGAGTGTGGGCGGGAGGGCCCGAGAGCGGGGAAGATGCAGCAGACAGCAGTAGACAGCAGTAGGGGTGAAGTCAGGAAGAACGACAGACAGAGTGTTAAATGTTGTAGAAGGAGGAGGATAATTGACCCAGGACATAGGTCTTTCTCTTAGAATCTCACAAAGCAACTATTTAGAGGGCTGGCGCTCTTGAGACCCAGAATGAATTCATCTCCATCATCATACCCCCGACCTCATCCCAATCACTTGCAAGCACCCGTTTGAAAGCGTGAGGCATCCTTTTCTTAATAGTCTCTTAAGGTCAAGATTCCCTTGGACTTGGTGAGCATGGCTGGCTCCTTTTTCAGACAGGAGGCCCACCATACTGAGCACAAAGACCACACCCTCACTAAGCCAAAGAAGATCACTGTCCTGCTGACCCAGCTCAGCAGGGCGTGTTGTTGGCAATCGTGGGGAGAGATGTCACAATTCCAGCACACTTGGAAATGTGGCAAGGTAGGACACTTGGCTTCTGATCCCAGAACTGACCCCGACTTTCTATGTCCCTTAGGGCAAGTCAATTTCTCTCACTGGCATTAAGATGCCCCGCACAAAAGTGGAGGTAGTACTGTGTCACAGACAAGAAACGAGGGGGTCTGGCAGACGACCTCACAAGCTCCCTCCAGCTCTAGGGGCCATGTCTCTTAGAAACTTGGCCATGTCTGTCAGCTAGGGTAGGATGGAGAAGCAAAGCGCCTGGGATTAAAATTGTCAAGCCAGCCGGGAGCCCAGCCTATGGTGAGTACCTGTAAGCCAGTCCAAGGCAGCACACCCAAACCCTGGGAGCAGTAGGACAGCTAAGTGTCGGCTGGTAGGAGGAGCACCTCCGAGCCACAGAAGACCCCATCCAATTCTCACCTTCTCTTCCGCAGCCTCAAGGCCAAGTTGGCTATGGACATCTGGGTCCAGGGTTCCACAAAGTGCCTGGACCACAAATCCAAAATTCCAAAGGGTTGAAGACTCACCCCAAACTAACACCAGGCCACAGCACAAGGCACAATCTATTTGTTTTCCATGAGTGTCACCCAGCTGAACTCTGGGGTTATGTCATCATATTTCAAATCACGATGAACTTTGTTCAAGACATTAAACAAATGTCTTAAGTATATATCATCTTATTTAAGTTATTGATATTATATGCTCACTGACTTGGAAAAGGTTAATAACAGCAAGTGTTGGTGGGAATGTAACGCACTGAAGCTCTGATACATTGCTGCTGGGAAGTTTGGAACCTGCTGTTTGGCAGTTCCTAATGAAAGTAAATATGCGCTATCCTATGACTCAAAAATTCCACTTCTAAGTAAATATCTAAGACAAATGAGTCTATGTGAACACAGAAAGGTTTGAACAGGAATTCGTAGCAACTCTATTCCTAATAGCCCCAAACTGGAAGCAACCCCAATGTCTAACAACGGAAGAATGGAGAAACACACTGTGGTATATTTATATGATGAAACATTACTTAGCAATAAAAAAGACAAACTACTGATTTGCTTTTTAAAAAAGCATTCCATTAAGTACAAGACTTCAGACGCAAAAGAATGCATACCATACGATTCCATTTATATGAGTTTCAACAATAGGCCGTCAGTGGTGACAGAATTCAAAATAGTGGTGATGTCTAGGAGACGGAATGCTGACTGGGAAAGACAGAAAAGAACTTTTGGGGATGATGAAAACGTTAGTCTTGATGTAAGTGGTGGTTCTATGTTGTATACATAGATGAAAAAGTAATCAAGTAATACTGGTAGGGTTTGTGAATTTTATTTATGTATAATATGTAAAGACGTTAAAATAAATTTGAAAATATGTTTGAATAGCCTGAAACTGTTTATACTATTGATCCAGCAACCCAGCTTCCATGTCTATGACGTAAAAGTGATGCTGATAAAGATTTACTATATGCTTCGCAGCAGTACTTAGAGTAGCAGTAAACTAGACAAAAATGCCCAAAACAGAGTATGGTCTAGATAAATGATGGCATATAACAGATAACTATCCAGCCATTAAGAAATTAAGGTATTGAAGGCCACACAATGACTTTTGACAAGGTTTTTGGTGTAACATGAGCTAACAAATCTGAGACTAACCTATACATAGTAAGATTCCTAAAATTTTCACATGGAAAGAAAACAAGGAACAAAAAACTTTTTCCTGTGATTGTGTCTTAAAGCTGAGTGTGCAAGTGCTTTATCATATTTTTATGCTTTTTAAGAAATATTTTCCAAGTAATCCAAGTCAGCAGATATTTTTAAAAATATTTCCACAAAATTGCTACCTCATCAGAAAAACTTTCGCTTCTTGGCTCACAGCGCCAGCATGTGACGAATCCAAGGTTTTTCCTGCCTGCATTTTCTTTTTAGTGGTGGGAAGGGGCAGCCTCAGGCATTCATCCTGGGAGTTTCCCACAACAAAAGGATGGCAGAAACTAGAAACTGTAAGCACCTGAATCGGGAACAGAACATCTGGTAAGATGCCAACACTCCACTGGGTAGGGGGACTGCACACCCCAGCTTGCCCGGTTCAACCCTCATAGACGCCTGTCTGGTTTGGAAGATAGATTCTATGATAATCTTCCACAGAGGAGCCCCCTTGTGGCCTCTTAGGCTCCTGGGATCATGGGTAAGTATTCATGTTTGGCTGTATGCTGGTCCAGAGAATGCCAAGAAAGATGACTCCATGTGCTGGACCAGAAGTAGTAGGGCTTGCTCTGGAAGGTCATCAACCGTCCCTTTCGGAGCGTGTTTTGGTCCCCTATGAAATCTGTGTGGGCTGGGACGCCCTCGTGGATGAAACACAATTTAAGCCAGGCCTCAAATGATTCTTGTTTGGGCCAGAAGAAAAGAAGGATGTTGCAGGTGGAAGAGATGGATGATGAGATGGTGATAAGACGGTGGATGAGATATTATAAGCACATGCAGAGATAGCAGAGAAGGTGGTGTGAAGGAAGAAGGCAATGGCCTGGCAACGTTGACGTGGCTGGTGGATGGACGGCTTTCCTCCGGCATGGTAATGGCAGTATTCTCCATAAATGGCTTGCCTTTCTCTGGAGAGACCCAGGCTTAGGGGCAGAGAAGGCTGTTTGGTGCTGGCTCACTCCCCTTTTTATCAGGCACTCTAGCAGTCAGACATCTGTTCTGTAAACTGGAAAGGCTGCACTGTCTCAACATTCCTTAGAGCCTTAAAGAGTGAAATGAGATGGGCAGGGAGAAATATAAATAGACGGTGCCCCAGCTCTGCTTTCCTGAGCAGCTGTAGCTCTAATATGATGTGTGTCCGGGCTCCCCAATAAGTTATTCCTTGAGAGGAGACTTCAGCAGGTAAACACACCTCTGAAAACCACCACATGGCATAGTGAAGCCAGCCCTACTACGTTAGGATCTTCGTTGGTCGGGCGCTAAGACTGCCCAGGGCTGTAGGAGGCACATCGCAGGATGCTTGCGTGCAAAGACTCTACAGCAAGGCTCTACAGCAAAATCGTGATTCTAAAATCACAGGATTCTATAGTTCTAGAGACTTCTATGTGTAAAGATCATTGAGCTGGAAAAGAGCTAACTGACCTTTCTGCTTGGACATAACTGAGCAACTGGTATAGGGCCTTCTTAAATTCCCACTCCGATCGGCAAGTGGGTGGATTTTCAGGTCTCCCGAGAATGCCAACCATTTAGAGCCATCATCAAATCATCCCAGAGGGTGTCAGTATTTCTTTCCCCTGTGCGGAGAGACCCCGGAATAGGGCAGCAGGCTCCCCAGGGGAAGGCTTGGGGAAGATTTATATTACAGACCCATGGGTTTCCAAGTTTAGCCAAGGGCATATTTATTCCAAAAAATTACTCACTGTTTATCTGAAATTCAAATTTAACTAAATGTCCTGTATTTCATCTGGCAACCCGGCATTACAGGGCTCTTCCTGAAAGAGACCTGACCCCTCCACCCATAAGGGGCTCAAAGTATATGAACTGGGGTAACTCTGATGACCAGGTAAGAGGCCATGAATCTCTTCTAAAAAGGCTTGTATTAGGTTTCTTCCCATGAAACCTAGAATTTGCTGTGTAAAGCCCAACAGTGCCTTAGTAAGCATCTCATCTATTTCATGTCACGGGGTCCCATAGATCCTGTAGTGTTCGTCAAAACACTCTGATTACCACTCCAGGCCTGGGGCTTGTTGGGGTGATTGTGCCCACCTTGTTTCTGCTGCTTCATAAGCACCACTGTCAGGCCTTTGCCACCCCAGGATCCCATTCCTCCTACTGAGATCCAAATCCAGCTTCATTACAGCCGTGTTTCTCCCACCATGGTCCCCAGACCAGCAGCATCAGCCGCAACTGGGGCTTATTAGAAATGGAAAGTGTTAGCACTATGCTGAGCACCTTCCATGCATAACTCACAAGATTCTCATAACATCACAGTGAGGTAATAATTAGAAATCAGTTCCTCTTAGAGGCTAAGAGAGGTAAGCAATTTGCTCCAAACCACACAACCAGTAAATGGCGGATACAGGACTTGACCCCATGTCTGGCTGATTCCAGACCTCAGGCTTCTAAACCTACTCTTCTATAAGATGATAGGGCCTGGAGCAGAGGGAAGGACAGACAGACTCCTTACAGATGGCAGGGTTTGAATGTCCCCTCGTCCACTCGATTTGGAGAAAAGTTTGAGGGGCATGTGTGGGAACGGATTCTAAGAGGAGAATAACACAAGATTCAATCAGTCAACTCATTGGCACGGGAATGGCCATTGGCATGGGAATGGCCCAGAATTCAGGACTTAATGTGTTAGCACAATGGGAGTGAGGTTAATATTTAGCTAGATTGGCTAATTGGAGTCTAGACTTAAAAAGTAGCCTGCGGTCAGTGAAGTTGAAGTGCTGGAACTTCCCTGGAATGTTAAGAAAGAGTCCAAAGGCTCAGAGACGTGGATATGTTGAAGTGGATCCATTGAAGTGGATCCGTTATGTGTAAGCTGCTCAGTTGTCTCCTAGGTGCCCTCCCTGGGAAGGCCGGGGCACGTCTCCTTTATCGAGGCATCAAGAGATGCTTTGACGAGGTCGTGAGAGGAGGGCAGCATCCTGAAGGGCTCTCTGGGGGCTATTCACTCCAGATGAGAGCTGGCCGTGGGTAGGCTGTAATTCCACGGTTCTCAGACTTTAGTGCACGTCAGAATCGCCTAGAGGGCTTGGTAAAACACAGCCTGCCATACTACTGGTGATCGTTTAAGTAATCATGCTGCCAACAGACGCCATCATTGTGCTCCTAAAATATATCAGCAACCTAGTTCCAAAATCCCATTTGGAAGGTCTATTTCTGGTACCCAAACCTATGCCAGTCAGGGTCCCAGAAAGAAACAGAGGACACAAATTTGAATGACCTGAGGAGAGTTTAATAAAGATCTTTACTAAGATCTTTACTATCTTTACTAAGATGTGGGCTGGGTGTGGAGAAACCACAGGGCTGCTTCAGTATTCGGAGGCTAATCACAATGTGGTGACCACCCCTAGACCCGAAGGGAAAAGGACACAGCATGGGTCCCCAAACCTGGATGGAGAGAGTCATGGAGAGAAGTGAAGCCATTGGTTGAGGGCTACATCGAGACTGAGACACAGGGGAGACAACAGAGGGGCCAGCACTTCACTGGAGCTCTCCTCCCTCCCTCCAGCTCGCTGTGGGGCTCCCCTGTGTCCGACCCCAGCCCGAAGCCAGAAGATCTGCGGTCCCATTGATGCGAGCCTCATAGCTGAGCTTCCCGGGCCAGAGAAGAGGACGGAAAGGAACAGAATGTGTGTCTGGAGAGGCAAGGTTGCGATCTTCTTTTCTCACATGTTCTTGACAACTTTTTTTGTATGAAAGTCCTAAGATTCATGAAGTGAGTTGATCAGTGTACACACTCTTGATATTCTCTGGAAGAGATTGTGTAAGACTGGAGTTACATTTCTTGGAATGGTTGGAGGAACTAGCTACTGAAGCCTTCAGGGCCCAGAGGATGATTTGTGGCAAGATTTTCAATTACTAATTCCATTCTTTAAATAGTTTTAGAATTACTTTTTTTTTCATTTTTTCTTGCAATCTGGTAAGTTATGTTCTTTAGACAGTCAACCATTTCATCTAAATCAAATTTGTTAGCATGTGGTTCTTATTTTCTTCAGCGTCCACAGGCTTGGTGGTGACGTCCGCTTCTTCTATTCCTGCTGTTGACTATTCGTGCCCTTCGTCCTGGTCAGTCTCGGGACGGCTTTAGCTATGTGATAGGCTTGTCAAAGAACCAGCTTCGGGCTCCCTCAACCCTTTCCGGGATACATTCTTTTCTATTTCGCTAATCTTAGCTCTTTATTTCCTTTCTTTTGCTCTCGCTGGGCTTGTTTTGCTAGAGTGGAAACACTCACAGGAATGAAAAGTTGAGAGTATTCCAGGCAGGTGCAAAAAGTAAGTAAAGTCTGGGAGCCAGGAGGGAGCGTGGGGAACGGCAACATTCAGGCAAAGGGCCTTGCCAGGTTTTCCATCAGAGTCCAAGCTGTCCCCTCCTTCCCCCCATGCCCCTGGTGGCACTTCCTAGCTCTAGCTCAGGCACACACCCCTTGCAGGAGGGAGCCAGGCACAGGAGCAAAGAGCCCACTGCTTTGCTCCACTCCTCAACCCTCTCCCATCGACAGCTCTGGAAACCCAAAGGTCCTTCCTGAAAACAAGGGACCTGTACCAATCAGTGGTTTTCCAACCATATCCCTCTGAGCCTGAGCGGCCGAAAGGGGCACCAATATGTGATGTGAGGGGCTCCTGTCACCAGCAGCTGGCTTTGGTTTGCTTCACGTATGGGACTTCCACATGAAACTTGGCTGAGAAAAAGACTTCTGCACCTAAATGAAAGTCTGAAACTGCCTTGGTGATTATATGTAAATAGTCTAGCTTTATCTTCCTGCGTCATCGCTCACTTCCCATGAGACTTTAAGTTATTGTCATTAATCTCTTGGTCCCTCAGTGTCTTCTGTAAATGGGCATGACGGTAACGGTATGTCCCTCATCAGGAGTGAATGCCTAAGAGGTTTTTTTTTCACTGCCTCCTTTTCATCTTGGAGAAAGCCAGGCCATGGAACAGTGCCTTGGATCACTTCCTGTGATGAGTGCCAGCACATCTGTGCTCTCTTGGCACGGCCTGGGCTGCTGGACGGAAACAGTGCCACCGGCTGCAGCCTACAGCTTCCGTCTTACATTTCTTGGAAAGCGCTTTGGCAGCCCAGCCTCCAGCTCAGCAGATTCGGGACCCCCCTTCATCCTAACTTGACCATGACCCTTCCCAGGCAAAGATCCCTCTGGGAGCCCCCACCCTCCCTGCTTCCTATAAAAGGCAGGCAGAGCTGCAGAGCTGCAGAGAAGCTGAGACCAGCCCAGAAACCAACAACTCTCAGGCCGAAGCTCCCGTCCTCGCCCTCCAGCATGAAGGTCTCCGCAGCCCTCCTGTGCCTGCTGCTCACCATGGCCACCTTCAGCCCCCAGGGGCTGGCTCAGCCAGGCAAGTTCCATCTCTCTCCCGCCCTCCTTCTCTTTCTCTCCCTCTGTTTCTCTCTCCTTCCAGGAAGCTCTGAGCCGAAGTGTCTCACTTCCTAGCCTATCCTAGCAGCAAGGCTCCTCAGAGCTTCACTTTAACATGTAATTTCAAAGACAGAAAGCAGAAGCCTACGCTGAAACAGGAGGAGGCCTCCCCTCCCCCACCTCCAGGCCATGGCAGAGCCCGAATAAAACCTCAGCTGTCCACTCCAAAACTGAGGCCTTTTGGACCCTGGCTGATCTTCCCAATCTCTGCAGATGGTGGGTCATATCCAGGACCCGTCACATTGGCCTCCCCCGGTCAGCAATGACTCATCCCCACCGTGCAGCAGAGAGAACCGTCTTCGAAATCTTGAACCACATGTTCCAGGTCCCACTCCATCTCTGGGCCTAGCGCCAGAGCACTGGACCTGGAGCGGATAAGATCACGTCTACCTCTTTGCTTCTCTTCCCCTACAGACGCGTCCTGCTGCGTTCAAGCTGAGAAAAACCTAGCCCCTCCTGAAAGGCTTTCTCTTTTTGACTTTCTATCTAGATGCCCTCAGTGCCCTGACCGCTTGCTGCTTCAAGTTTAACAGTAAGAAGATGCCCTTGCAGAGGCTGAGGAGCTATCGAATCACTGGCAGCCAGTGCCCCCAGGAAGCCGTCATGTGGGTAGAAACACCCTCACCTCACCCCCCACCTCACCTCACCCCACTCCACTCTCCGCCTCCACCAGGTCCAAAGCTCTCCCCAGAAGACAGACATCAGACTAACTTGGGATCATATACTCAGGAGATAAGATCTAACTAGACTATGCAATTCAAATCCTCCCATCGTTACATTGATGTAACGATGTAACATCCCAAGAAAGCCAGCAACAGCCCACTCCCCGCTCCCTGAATGGGCGCCGGCTGGCACCCTTGTGGTTGCTCTACCGGATGTCAGGCCAAGGTCTCCTGGGGAGACAAGAACAGTGACTACCACCAGAGGCCTCTTCTTTCCACACCCCTCCCTCCTCCAGTCCCAGGGCGGCTGCCTCACCTGTGGCAGGTGGGCCAAGCAGGTTTTAGAGTCCAATGAGTTATCCCTTGGATAAAACCCTCAAGTGTTTCATCTAACTGTGCCAACGCTCCTTCATCCACAGCTTCAGAACCAAACTGGCCAAGGACGTCTGTGCCGACCCCAAGGAGAAGTGGGTCCAGAATTACATGAAATACCTGGCTCAAAAATCTCCCACCCGGAAGACTTGACCTCCCCCAGCCACACCAAGACCAAGCCAGATGATGAGAAACGACTATTTATTCTCCTCCAGCCTTCCCATCCACACGCTGGACTAATTTGACTGTAATTTTCAGATAGGATGAGTTCCGTTTTGTGATACAAAATGTTCTACGTCTTGAGTAATATTTAATATTATTTGAATTGTTGCTGGTTTGGGGATTATTTTGAAGCTTGGTGATCTTTTTGGTCAAGCAAAGCCTTGAGCCTGTTGGATCTTTCTCACGTAAGCTGTGGGCAGGGGGTCTCCCTCCAGCCTAACTCCTTGAGGGTTGTGTCTGCGAGAATCACAGAGACGAAGGGCAGCTACCATGCAGGGAGGCGAGGGCCTGGGAGCGCGAGATATTGCTAAACATGTTACAATGGAAAGATGAATGGAACTGTGGGACTGCTGACTTTCTGCGGAAAATAGATTTTGTTTAAAATCTCTAACTGTGGTGTTTTCTTTGGGGGTAACTCTTAACCAGGAGGGGGTCTCTAAGGTGCAGGTGGATGGCAGAGGCACTAGAGGAATGTGGATGTCACGGAGGCCCTGGCTGCGGCTAGCCTGGGCTCATCTGATGACAGGGAGGGCCTGCTCATCCTCCTAGAATATTCTAGAACAATGGCTCCAGTCCCAAGCATCAGCTTCTAACAGATCTCCTTGCCCCTGTGCCTCTCCACTCTGAGCAGCCCTCCACCTTGGAGTAATACAGACAGTAACTGCACCTGAAGCCCAGGGGAAAACCAGATGACCCAGTCCTCATTAGCACTGGACTTGACAGAGAAGATGGGACTTGGCAGACCTTGGAGGATGGTGTAGCATGGTCGCAGCAAGATTCTTCTAGAGAAGATACAGAACGGAAAAGGGGAGAAAGGGAGTGGGGAGGGTATGTCCTCCTATGGTGAGAGTCTGGGTCCCAGAATGGAAAAGGTAGAGATGTCTAGAAAGGAAGGTTGAAGTGTGGTCCTAGAGGAATTGGAATATCGAGGTGGGGAGTTTGGAGCGAGCTCTGAAGGCGGGAGCGGGGTACCGAAGGCTTTGGAGCCCCTGGGAGGGCAGGAGATGCCGGGAAGAGCAGCCTATGGCCGTGGGCAGGACAGAGTTGACAAGGCAGAACTGAGGGCCGCCTACGGCCGTGGTGCAAGCAAGAGGGAAGGGACGAGCAGGGCGGTGCTGGGGGTGGAAGGAGGATCCAATTTAAGAAGAACAGGACAGACTGTGACACGTCGAAGGCTGGGGAAAGATGGAGGTCTTGAGACAGAGCACATGAGACCTTCTCCTAAAGCCACCAAGCTGGCCTTTAACGGGGTGCCGATGCCGAGACCCAGAAGTCACTGCCCTCCCTTGCTATTCTCCCAAGAATCACACATTACACAAACTGGAGCTTGTGATGGCTCCTTTTAAAGGGACAGGGCTTCTCCTTTCTCTGTGTCCACCAGGGTTCCCCTGCCCTTCTGGAGACTGCCTCCCTCCTGTGGACGAGCTGTGTTGGCATCTCCATCAGACTGCATCCACCCATGCCTGCACACTCCCCAGGACCCTCCCCGAGAAGAATGCCCTGCTACCCCACGCTGCAGGGTCTGTCTGGTGGAGAGAGGGTGCCTGTGCCATGCTGTGCCGGGCAGTCACTTGGCAACCCGTTCCAGACCCGGAGGCAGAGCTCTGGGCTCTCACACCAGACCTGACCCTGACTTGCTCTGTATCCTCAGGCCTGTCCGTGGCCCTCCCCAGCCCTCAGTTACCTGCTCTATAAAATGAGGCTAGCATTGTGTGACAGGCAGTTGACCTCACAAGATCCCCTCCAGCTAGGGCAGCTGTGACTCTTAGATAACGTCAGCCCCTGAACCCTCTGGGCTGGGCAGGGAGGGAGAACATCCTGCACCCAAACGTGGACCCATCCCTGGGTCCCAGCCTTGTCCCACTGCCGAAACCGGAAGCAGAGCATTTACACCACAACCCCAAGTCAACGCTGACCCCCAGGACAAAGACAAAGCAGAGAGGCATGAGTCATTTATTGGCTCCTATTGACAAGCAGTCAGCTCCCCAGCACCAGATCCAACGGGTCTTCTCCCCTCCCCCACCTTTCAACCCCCTGGCTCCAGCCCCCAGCCCCTCAATCTAATCAAATTTGTGCCCTGCCATCCCTGTGGGGTCCAAGAGGCACCAAGGGGCAGGAGTTGAAGATTCTAGAATTTAAATATGTAAAGTGCAACAACATAGCTTATCAGGACCCAGCAGACTCTCCATGACCTGACAAAGGTGGGGCAGAGGGACCCGTGTAGGGCTGGGGATGGGAGGACAGGGGAAGCCACGTGGTCTCTGAGTCCAGGATGGAAAGGAGGCCGCTCATACTTCCTATAGCAGGCAGGTTTTCATGCTTTTTAAATACTCCTGAACCCATCGGGCTGTCTTCAAGGCACAGCTCTGTCTGCCTCCCCTCAGCTGGAGTCTGTGGGCAGAGAACAAAAGAGGGGGTGAGTCACCCAGGCCATCCCCTGGGCACCACACACAAGTCCCCTCTCCCCCTCCTTGCTGCTGGGTGCCCCTGAGTCGCTCTGAGTCTGTATACAAAGTCCTTGCAGAAGACCTGCAGCTTGCACGCCAGGAGGAAGACCCAAGCTTCAGGGGGAGCCTATTAAATTGAGTTTCCTGGACCCATTTCCAGGAGATTCCCATTCGGTGTATCAAGCAGGGCTGGGGGCTGAAGACTTTGTGAGGATTAGCCAGCATGGAAAATGCCCCTCCTAGAAGATCTCCGAGGGCCCCCCTGCTCCCTCTTTTCATGTGCCTATGTCCATCTGGGACCCTCAGTCATTGCTCTGGACTTACTGTGTGTGTGTGTTTCTTTTCTGATCCGCCCGCCTCCTAAACTTAGCTATTGTCCAAACTATAGACCAATTCTGCCTTTTACTATCTGAGTGAACTTGGGGACATCTCTCTACCTCCCGGAACCCCAGTTTTCATCACAATGTAAATATGTGCCCAAGAGTGTTAGCCGAGGTAATATACATGAAAGTGACTTATAGGACACCGAGTGGCAAACGTAGCTACCTCAGCCAAGCCTCATGATGACCCTGTGATGCAGCTGTCATATTTACTCCACTTCCCAGACAAAGAGTGCAAAGGAGAATCCAGATCATGAAGTGCAGAACAGTTACCTGCCCAAGGTCGCCAAGACTATAGGTTGGCAAATCCAGAGGCAGGAACTGATTATGGCCCCCTCCCTCTTTCCGCTTTGCAGTAACACCTGGAGCTTTTTTTTTTTTTTTTTTTGAGGAAGATTAGCCCTGAGCTAACTACTGCCAGTCTTCCTCTCTTTGCTGAGGAAGCCTGACCCTGAGCTAACATCATGCGCATCTTCCTCTACTTTCTATGTGGGACGCCTCCCACAGCATGGCTTTTGCCAAGCGGTGCCATGTCCACACCCAGGATCCGAACAGACGAACCCTGGGCTGCCAAGAATCTGAACGTGCAAACTTAACCGCTGCGCTACCGGGCTGGCCCCTGCCTGGAGCTTTTAAGTAATTCCTGCCTCTGAATATAAAATATTAAGATATAGTACTTGGCACCTTGGAGCTCAAGAAACTCAAGCTACTGCAGGAGCACAGGTGCAGCTGTCTGGGCGCCTGCTAGAAGGTGCGGAGCTCCCCCTAGCGCCCACGCTCGGCTCTGCACACGGGTTTTGGCGGCCTCGCTGTCCGCGTTTAGAAACCTTCATCTGGTGGAACATCGCCATCTACTGTTCTAATTCCAGCTGGGCCGCTCTCCGTTCTCAGGAGGGAGCCAGATCTAAGAGGGGACAAGGGACAAGCACTTACATGAGACGATCACCGTAGGGGCAGGTGGAGCTGGTGTTTCTGTAACACCGTATTTTCTCCTGGGAAATCTTTTTCTTCATAAATGTAAAGCAGCAATTGGAGGACGACACGTGCACTAGAAGAGAAGCGCAAAAATAGTTTGCATCCGTTTCGCAACCTGAACTTTCTTGTTCTCATCCAGGATGATTTAAAAAAAAAAGAAAAAAAAGCACCCTCCAGGACAGACCCAGCCTTTGGGACCACATCCAGAGGGCCCTGGTGCAGCTGTGTCTTATTGGCCGCCCAGCTTTGTATTTAGGCAAAGATTCAAGACACTGGAGTTCAGATCCCAGCTCCCCACAAACCAGCTGTGTGACCTTGATCAGGGTGAGCCCTCCCCTGGGCCCCAGACTTTTTAGACAGCCCGGGGTCCTGACTTCAGACACTACCCATTGCCTGTCACACTGTGGAGGCAAAACCAAGTCCCTCCTGAGGACCCCGGGGCTCCCACTTGGTCTAAATAACCTCCCCGCTCCCCTCCAGCAGTCCCCAGAGTCTGGATGAGCCAGGGCCTCCTTGTGTTGAAGCTAGTGGCTCAGCTGTCTGTTCGCCAAGGACTCATGATTCTCCTACTGGTCCCTGGCCCCCACCATCCAAACCCTCCAGTCCTCTTTAGGAAGAATCCTTCCTGGAAGAGGGGAGATGGAGGCAGGGAGTTCCGGGTAAGCCCTGCCCCCACCCCAGAGCACCTGCCTCGTTGCTGCCCTCCCCCAGGGGAAGAGAAGTGACTCCAGCCACACTCACTGCTTTTGCTGTCCGCATCCTGCAGCCACACCCCAGCCAGCAGCAGGCACACCAGGGCCACAGCGATGAACTTCATCTCGGGCAGTCTGGCTCGGGCCTTCCTGGAGTGGTCTCGATGTGTCTGGTGCAGCTAGGAGCTCTCCCCTGGCCCATCCTGCGGTGCCCAGAGCTTTTATGAGATGATCTAGGTGGGGTTTCCCAGGCCCTGGTGCAGAGGCGGGGAAGTCACAGGGAGAAAAGATGGTTACTCAGTGACCGCGTGGAAAACTCCTTTCCCCACCTCTCCCGGGGGGTGTGCGAGGTATGAGGAAACTTGCCCAAGGGCAGGAGCAGATAAGGATCTCGAGCAAATGAGTGGGAGCCGTCCCGACTGAGTGGGAAGTGGAGAAAGGTGAGTGAGAGGAAGTGGCCTGTTTGTGGCTTCTCTGACCCCACGTCTTTCCATCCAGGGATGGAGCTACTGTCCCCGGAACGTGGCGGAGCAGATGAGTCCTGGACTAGGACTGAGAGACACCTGTGCTTGAATCCCAGCTCTGCAAATGAGCAGTTGCATCAACTTGCCCAAGTCACAGAAGATGGAAACAGTGTGTCCCATGTCAAATGATCTGCTCTGTCAAGCATGATCTGCTCTGTCAAGTGCCTGGCCCAGAAATTTGCCATTTCTATTTTTTCAATTGCTCCACACTTTTCAACAGCTTGCATTGTTCCAGGTCCTCAGTCAGCCCCAGAAAAGCCCAGTGAGATGCAGTGCCTGACCTTGAGGCGCTGCCCTTCAACTCGCAGATAAATAAGTAAGAGCCACTCCATGAAGGACCACAGTAGACGCGCCATATGGAGGTCACAGAGGAGGGTGGGAGCTGCCCACAGGCGTCAGAGTGCCTCCCGGGGGAATGCTCTTCAAGCAGAGTCTCTCCAGAAGGGCTGAAGTGGAAAGGCGCACACCACAGAGGGAGGGGCTTGCATAAGGACAGCAAGGCAGGAAGGAGCACGTTCATTCAGAGTTGTCAGAGCGCACTGGGGTGTGGGGTGTAAGGAGAGCGACAGGAATGAGGAAATGGCTGGAAAGAGAGGTGATTGTACAGCTCCAGAGCGGCCAGGTCATGAAGACATTGTGTGCAGTGCTTGGAATAAGTAGCACGTAGTAGGTGCTCAAGGAAAAGGAGCGGGACCGAATCTGTGTATTAAAATGATGAGGCCGTGTGTCTTATATACCCATGGGGGTTGGCTAAGCTGGTCACCTTGGACCGTGCACGCTCTAGCTCAAAGCCCTGCATGGCCTCCCGTTGTCAATTGGATGACGTACAATCTGCTCGCCTGGACATTCACAGTTCCTCATGTTGTCTCTCCATGGATTCCTGCACGTTGGGATATTTGTAATTCCCTGAACATGCCTCATGCTTTCCTCACTCCAGGATTTTGCTCCCACTGGGACCTCCATCTGCAGAGCCCTCCTCACTGTCTCCCTCTGTGAGCTTTCCACCCATTTCAAGTGGCGTCGTCTCTACAAAGACGCCTCAGCTATCCCCAGCAGGTAGACATTCAGCCCCCCTGTGCCTGGGTCTCCCACGTGACGGTCTTGTATCTCTCAGTTCAGTGTATTCTCCAACCTCACGCCTGGGTGGGAGTCCTGGCACATCAGAGTTGAAAGGGTCCTGGAAGACCATCCACAGCAGTGGCTCTTAAAGTTTCCCAGGAGAGCTTTTGAAAAAATGCCTATGTCTTGGCCCATTTCAGAATCAGAATCAAAGCGTACATGCCGATCTATGTTAGGGAGAAAAACTCCAGGTAACTCAGGCACCAGGAGACAAGAATTGCATATCTGGTAAATTCTTCTCATCTGACAGATGAGAAGAAAAGGAGTCTCAGAAGAGGAGACCGCCTCGGCCAAGGTCACACTGAGATTCCCTGCAGAGAGGGGATGCTGGATGCTCCAGGCGTCTGGTCCTCTGACCTGCACGTGTGGCCGCCTCTGAGAACACACTTTCACCAAGGAGCTAGGACGCCAGCTAACGGCTGCTCGGCCCCATCCGTTCCCGTCTGTGCTGCCAGCTGCTTGCTGCCCCCCGAAAAGTACTTGAAGCGCTTGAATCCACCAACCCACTAGTGTGGCTCTCCTATTCTCTCTGTCCTTGCAGATTCATACTTTTTTATTCCTTTATTGTTTTTAGTGGAGTCTCGGGAGAGAAAGGAGATAAAGCTGTGTGGTCCCTCAGCCAAATGTAACCGTGGGTCCTTTAGACTTGCTTGGGACACAGAGAGGGGCAATGCGGCCACCCAGGAAATTCTTTGCTCCTGCCCTCCTCCTGGGGAGGCTGCCCAGCCCCTCTGGCAGCTCATTTCCCCTCCTCCCCCTCACTGTGGCCACGGCCAGCCCAGGACAGGAAAAGAGGAAACAGCAAGACTTAGTCATGCCTTCTCCTTCCTGGCTCCCTCAGCACCTGGAGAACTGGCTGGAGGCTCCCACCACACAGAAACCTAGGGCTCCACCTGGGCATCTCCCTCACCCCCAACCAGCCTCCTCTTCTCTAGGCCCCGGCACCATGGTGAGGGCCAAGCAATATCTCAATAAAATATGTGGCCTTGAAGGAGACAGGTCAGAACAGCATAGGATGATGGACAAGAAATGCTCTCAGCATAAACGTTGAGCCAATTATTCGCGTGAACAATCATCTTCTTAGAAGTTTGAAAACCAGGAAGTGCCGGTGGAAAGGTTTTCTTATCAGTCATCTCTTATGACATGGGTTCCAATTTACCCAGGATGGGTAGACAGCAGACAGAGCACAGCCCGTGTGGATTCATCTTAAGATCATCTCGCCCACGGGGGCTTAGGGGGGTCTGGCCTGAGCGGGCTGGAGCCTGGCCTGGCCTGCTTGCTCTCCACTTACGTTTCAGCCTGATCCTTACAGACCAGGACACAGAAACCCTCGGGGGAGAAGTCGTTTGCCAGGCATTGCACAGCTGCAGAAATACTGGTCCAGCTTTGTCCACCTTTGGGGACGTCTGAGTTCCCTCACTTAGGGAGGAAGCATGTTATGGACTCAGAGATAACAGGTCAGAGCTCAGCCCCACCACCTTTTAGCTGTGTGACCTCAGGAAAGTAACTTAATGCTTCTGAGCCTTAGTTCCTTCATTGTAAAATCCACTGCCAACTGGACCTGGTATAACTCTCCTCACGGTTTTCAAGATAAGCTCCCAACACCTTAATCTAACTTTGGGCTATTGAAAGGATTAAATGAGATTTCTCACCTTGCCTTGGAACAAGGGAGGAAGAAAGGAAGGAAAGGAGAAAAAGAAACAGGAAGGGAAGGAGGGGAGACGAAAAGAAAAGAAAGTTGATCATTTAAAATCGTTGTGGAGCACCCAATAAGCTCTAGGTCCCGGGGATACAGAGACACAAGACAGACACTGGCACTGCCCTGGTGGGCTTACCCTCACAGCGAGTGCTCAAGGAGAGACCTGTGTCCTGTGAGCTGCAGAGCATGCGAACGTCCCTGCCTCAGGGCCTGACACACAGTGGATGCTCAAAACCTAGCTCCTCTCCCATCTCCCCCTCAATCCTGGACCATCTGAGCCGCCATCACCTGAACCAGGCAGAGCCACCACCTCCCCATCCGGGTCCCCTTCCTGGTCTCTTTCCCTTCTAATGCCATGTGCCCCAGGCCCAGGCCAAGCTCTCTGTCCTCACTCACGTGAGCAGTGTCCTCTCCAGTCCCCACCTCTGCCGCAGGCCCCTTCCGCCTCCTGCAAGCACCAGTCCAGCCCCCAGCAAGGCCCCCCAGCACCCAAATACCTCAGAATTCAAAACCCTTTCTCGTGTTTTCCGAGTGTTACCCTCTGCCTCTTGCACTTACACTCTTTCCTCTGTTTTTTCTCTAACATTCAGCACGTTTGTTCGTTGAAGGAGAGCTCTCTTATCTAGTTCTCAGCGACATGTGAAGGAGGCATGGAGCATCTTTCATAGCAACAGCAGACCTAGGGGTGCCCAAAGAATGTCACAGCAGCCGCAGTCACCAGCTTTTCCATGTGCATCCACAGCCACTGAGCCGCTGAGCTGACGACCACTCGGCCCGCTGTGCTTGTGTGCAGTACAAATGTCTAGGCTCGGCTTACAGTGTCCTTCACAACGTGGCCAACATGGCTCTAGCTGCATGGCACCACCGGTGCTCTGCACACACGCTGGGACGGCACTGCCCCTTCTCCTGGGATGCTTGTTCCAGCTTTTTCTGGCTGACTTTCTGCAGGCTGTCCCACCTGAGCTCCTCTCAGTGTAGGCTCCTCACACTATCGTAATTGCCTGGTGACCCACACCCCTCCCTTGTCTGGAAGCTCCTAGAAGGCAGGAGTCCCTCTGTCATGGTCCGCATTTCATGTCCTGGTGACCAACACAGGGTGCGCGCAGTGGCGGTTTGCTGGAGAAGAGGGAAGAAGGGGTCTTAATATCAGTCATCGTCCCCAATGAGAAATGGAGGCCCTGGAGATTACAGGAGTCTCACAGGTGGCAACTCACTGAAGAAGGATCAGGAGCTCCGGACCAGGTCCTGCGCTTGTTTATACTGCCCTGCCCTGTCTCTCCTGCCTCACGCACGTGGATGGAGACAAGGCTGTCTGCAATTTCCGAGGGTGCTGGTGGGCGCCAATCTACATGCGGGGTCCCGGTGCCAGGTCTCAGTTCCTGATATATTCGTTCACTCACTCGTTCATTCACTCAGCAAGCATCTTCCGAGGGCCACTCTGTGCCAGCCCCTGTGGGGTCAGACCGCTTATCAAGGAGACCCAACTACAGAGCTGGGGCCTAGAGAGAGAAACGGACACACAAGTCAGGGAGCCGCAGAGCTGGGCAAGCGGTGCCATAACATGCAGACCAGAGGCGGCACATGCCAGGCCAAGGGGCCTCCTTGGGGTGCAGTGTGGCATTTCAACCGAGCCTGGAAAGAAGGGGATGGAATGTGTGCGGGTGGGGGAAGGGGACAACATGGTGCAGAGTGGTTATGAGAGTGAGCTCGGGCCCCCAGCCCCAGGTCCTCTGTACACTGCTTACGTGACTTCTATTCGCTTAACCTCTGGGCCTCATCTCTAAATGGCGATAATAATGGTACTTGCTTCTAGGCTTGTGCGAAAATTAAATGTGACATATTTCTTAAGGGAA